TGTATATATAGGTGATTTTGCGCACATGTGTCGAGTTGTAGCAATATTTCCGCTAGAGAGCGGCGCGGAAGCAGTTAGCTAAGCATTTAACTCTTTAAACTCCAAACTGCCACCAGATAGTTTTGGGCCCATCAACCCTTTATAGCCCTTCATAATAACAGCAATGACCGTTATGACTTTAAAATGTCTGTACACACACTATTACCACAGACAGGCACGTCCAGAGATTTACTCGAGCGTAGCGGTCTTCAGAGGCACAGAGGTTCTTTTAGTTCTGTGTTGGCACATTAGATGACCGTTTTAACACTTTTCAGAATATGGTTTTATATTGAAAAGGTCAATATAGTGCGAATAACATATTTACAAAAAAAGTTATTACAAAGAAACAGACAATAGTAATGCAACAGAGAAATAAAAAGGAGTTGAGAGTGAGAATAATTAGCAATGTCCTAGTTCAGTCCAATCAGTTAAGCAAGATGGTACATTGCAGGGGTGTGGAAATTTTTGAAAAAAACTACTTGTCCAGGGACTAAATCGGTGCCCCAATCTACTTGTCCCTGATGACAATGTACTTGTCCTGATAAAAAGAAAGTAAATTTGAACCAAAACCGTACTTAAATCTGAGGTGCTTTTAGAAATGTCTGGGGCTTTTAAAACCAAAAGGGGCTTTATGGAGACTTAAATGTTTAATATTTTAACCATTGCGCTGTTTATCTCCTCCTCCCCTCCCTGCCTGTCTCCAGCACCGCACCCAGGTACTAGCAGGGAGGAGAGAGACTGCAGTGTAATGAGCACCAATTGGGTGCTCGTCAGGAAAGGGGAGTGTTGGGCTTATCCTTTATCCCATTTGCTGCCAGAGCTGTTTTTGCATTTTTTGCACATGTTTAAAAAATAATTTAAGGCCTGAAGATTACACAAACCCCCAAACATGATCTATTTTCTGAAATCCGAGACCCTAGAGAATAAAATAGTGGTAGTTCCAAATTGCCACACGATATTATCACAAAGGTCTAGAAAACACAACATTTCAGTAAAAAATACACTTGCTTTAATTTTAGGCCATAAAAAGCAAATTACCATATTTTTTGTAAAATATAAAATATGAGGTTGCATCGAGTAAGTAACCAACATGTCAAACCTTAAATTTGCATGTGCTCGTGAAACGGCAACAAACTTTAGTATCCTATATTTTCTATGTGAGAGGCTTTTAAAAGCCCCTTATAGGTCATTAGTTTAGCGTTACGGAGGAGGTCTGGTGCTAGAATTATTGCTCTCATTCTGGCATGCAACGTGTATCGGACTCGCTGTTTTTATGCGTAGTCACCCCAGCATATGCTTTTCCGTTTGTACATGCATACATCTGTGGAGATGGTGGGGCCTCAAATAATTTTGGGGGGTTATATGCTTGAGTGTAACTTAAATTTTTAAAAAAAAATGTTTCCCTTTTTTTTCATCACATGAGATGCGATGATTTTTTGGTGACAGGTTCTCTTTTTTTGAGACATCCAGGGTCTAAGACTCTGGAAATCTCCCCTGTACTACACTGAATGTAATGCAGTGCACATCACACTGCATTACATTCTTTCCCAGCCTCGATCGCCGGGAAATCTGTCAACTGGGACCCGGAAGTGACGTCACATCAGTTCCCGGTGAGGAAAGAAGGGGAGGGGACCAGATGTGTCTGCTTTCCTCCCTCCATAATACCTGCCAGCATCCAGGAGACTATCTCACCTTATGTATACTTAAGCTTAGTCATGGGATGACCTTGATTTGTTTGGTATGATATTCCCAATTCAAATATATACTTAACACCAAGCAAAATAGGTGAGTTGGCTTTGGTGCATGAATAGAACTGTGATTCAATTGGTATTGCTGAATCTTGGCTTCATTCTTCACATGACTTTAATATTCATTAATAATATTCCTGGCTATGTTCTCTTTCGGAGAGACAAGGTAAAAAGGAAAGGTGGTAGTGTCTGTCTCCTATGTGAGAAGTGATCTCAGAGTGAGTGTGAAAGAACCTAGTTGATGGAGAGTGCGATGAAGCTAAAACACTATGAGTGGAACTGCACATGGAGGTGCGTACTACAAAGGCAATCGTTGGATTTTGTTATAGGCCACCCATTGTAAATAAGGAGGTGGAGACTCAGCTCCTTGAGCAGATCAAAAGGGCTGGGACAGTGATAATAATTTTAACTACCAGGAAATTGACTGAAGTAATGGCACTGCAGGAACAGTTAAAGTTTTATGGTACAGTTCAGGGGCCCCAACTAGGAATGATGCTCTGCTGGACCTGGTAATCTCAAACTATGCAGAGCTTATTACTAATGTCCATATAAAAAACATCTGGGTAGCAGTGACCATAACATTATTTCATTTATTGTTGCAAACAACAAGCACATACGGGAAAAATAAAAATGCTCAACTTTAAGAGAGCTAATTTTCCAAGGCTGAGAGCTGCTCTCCAAGACTTAGACTTGGAGGGAATATTGGCATCGATGAACACAACACAGAAATGGGAGTTCTTCAAAGACTGTATGTGAACACACTGCAAAATATATTCCCATGGGCAACAAGGTTAAAAGGCTAAAAATCAAACCTATGTGGCTTACGGCCAAGTTTAAAAAAGCTATAAATAATAACAAAAGAGCTTGTATTAAATATAAAAATAAAGGGATGCCATCATCCTTTAAACATTACAAAGAATGTAACAGAATATGCAAAAAGGAAATAAAAGCAGCAAAAATTTAAAACTGACAGATTGCAAGAGATAGCAGGACAATTCCCCCAAAATTCTTCAAATATATGAATAGTAAAAAGGTCAGATCCGAGCATGTAGGCCCTTTAAAAAATAATCTAGGGTGGGTGACTGGGGACAAAAAGAAGGCAAATTTATTAAAATACCTTCTTCAGCTCTGTGTATACAAAGAAGCATGGAGGAGCTCTTGTCCATAATGGGCATGGTATTAACACAGCCCCAGATGATCCACATTGGTTCATAATTGATATGATCCAGAAATATTTAGACAGAATAAAGGTGAATAAAGCACCTGGACCAGATGGCATACACCCACGGGTTCTTAAAGAATTGAGCTCTGTCATTTCAAAGCCATTGTTTCTAATTTTTAGGGACTCTTTAATTCACTGGCATAGTACCACTGGATTGTGCCAATGTGGTGCCAATATTTAAAAAGGGGTCAAAATCTTTACCAAGTAATTATAGATCTGCTAGTTTAACTTCTATAGTTTGGAAGATTCTGGAGAGTTTAATAAAAGACCACATAGATGAGTTCTTGCTGGGAAAAAAATATTTTAACAAACAGCATGGATTCATGAAAGACAGAAGTTGTCAAACAAATCTGATTTCTTTTTATGAGGAGGTGAGCAAAATTGGGCAACTATGTAGCAAATGAGGTTTAATGTTGATAAATGTAAGGTTATGTACTTGGGGGCTAAGAATATACATGCATCATACATACTAGGGGGGGGGGGTACAACTGGGAATCAATGGAGAAGGATCTGGGGGTTCTGGTAGATCACATGCTTAATAATGGCATGCAATGCCAAGCTGTGGTTTCTAAAGCGAACAAAATCCTCTCTTGTATTAACAGGTACAGACTCCAGAGAGCGATATCATTTTACCCCTGTACAAATCATTAGTAACACCTCATCTGAAATATGCAGTTCAGTTTTGGGCACAAATTCACAAAAAGAACATTGGGGAACTGGAGAAAGTACTGAGAAGGGCAACCAAACTGATAAGATGCATGGAGGAGCTCAGCTATGAGGAAAGATTAGATAAACTAAATGTATTCTTTCTTGAGAATAGGCGATTAAGGGGGGGATATGATCAACATGCATAAATACATCAGTGGTTCAATATAGTGAACTCCAGTGTATATTATTCACCTTGAGGTCATCACAGAGGACAAGGGGTACTCTTTACGTCTGGAGGAAAAGTGATTTAATCTCCAAATATGGAAAGGTTTCTTCAAAGTAAGAGCTGTGAAAAAGTAGAATAGACTCCCTCGAGTTGGTTCTGTCCAGCTCAGTGGATTGCTTTAAAAAAGGCTTGGATTCTTTCCTAGATACTCATAATGTAACTGGTTACTAACATTTATAGGTAAAGTTGATCCAGGGAATATCCGATTGCCTCTCGGGGGATAAGGGAGGAATTTTTTTTACGAGCAGGAGCAAATTGGATCTCGTTTTGCTGGGTTTTTTGCCTTCCATAGGATTATAACTTTTTTTGTTTGGTGGAACTGGGTGGACTTTTGTCTTTTTTCAGCCAAACTATATGTCTTGGTCCTCTGTTATTATGAATTGTGTGTAGATTTTTTTGAAATTGTGAGTTGGGCAGGGTTCTCAGAAAGGTCTCCTCAAGCCTGACTGCTTTACGATATCCATTAACCCTGGTTAAGACATTTTATGGAGCACTGTGTATACCTAATGTGTTTTATTGCCTACAAACCATGGGGGACAGAACTAACAGATTTTGTGACTTTTTTTTACTATGGGTCAGTGGGAAGTGATAATCTGTAGATGTTTATGGTTACAGAAATTAACCGACATCCTGCCAGAACTTCAATTAAGTGGCAGTGAATGGGATAAGAAAAGTTAACCACTAGCCTACCAGGCACTTATACCCCCTTCCAGCTCAGGCCAATTTCCAGCTTTCACGCTGTCGCACTTTGAATGAAAATTGCGCGATAATGCGACTTTGTACCCATATGAAATTTTTATCATTTTTTTTTGTGACAAACAGTGCTTTATTTTGGTGGTATTTAATCACCTCTGGGTTTTTTGTTTTTTCTTAAACTAAAAACCACTGAAAATTTAGAAAAAAAAGTTTTCTTAGTTTTTGTTATAACATTTGGTAAATAAGTGATTTTTCTCCTTCACTGATGTGCGCTAATGAGGCTGCAGTGGTGGGCACTGATAGGCTGCACTGATGGACACTGATGAGGAGGCACTGGTAGGTGGCACTGATGGTCATTGACAGGCATCACTGATGGACACTGAAAGGCAGCACTGATACATGGCACTGATAGGAATCACTGTTAGGCGGCACTGACTGGCACTGATTGGCATTGATAGGTGGCACTGACTGGACACTAATGGGTGACACTGAAAGGCAGCTCAGATGGGCACTGATATGTGGCATTGATGGGCACTGGTAGGCACTGATGGGCACTGACAGGTGGCGCTGTTGGGGCTACACTGATCATCAGTGCCCTGATAAGTGTACATGTCCCCTCCGCGGAAAGCTGACTACCGGCTCTCCTCTCCTCTCGAGCTCTCAGCGTGACAGCTTGAGAGGAGAGAAATGCTGATAACCAGCATTTCCCTGTTTACATGTGATCAGCTGTGATTGGACACAGCTGATCACATGACCGAGCCGACATCTTTGGCTCTTTCCGTGATCGGTGATCCGCTGTGTCTGAGGGACACAGCGCACCGCCGATCGCCGCGCTGCGCACTCCCTGAGCCGCGCATGCACGGTGAGAATAGGAGGACGTCATATGATGTCCTCCCAGAACGAGAGAACCTAACCTTGCATCCGTCATATTACTATATGGCGGGCGGGAGGTGGTTAAACTCCCTAATTATATTCAGAATGCTTTATTAATCTGTATATAATTTATAGAAATTTTTATGAACAGTGTAGATCCATGTTAACAATAATAAAGTGGCATATATTTCTCCTTAACTGTTTGGAATTGGTGACAGATATAAACAGGAATACTTCATGGATGTTATGGTGTTAACAATTATTCCAATGGGAAGAAAATGTGATCTACTTCTTACCCCATATATACTATCTTGTGGTAAATTACAAGTGTACCAGTTATCTGTGATACTCTTTAGAAAAGTAGCTTTTATACTGGTCAAGCACAATGAGATATTGTGCGTATCTTTATGACGTGCTTACTAAAAATTATTTTGTTTTGCAAAACAGGTCAAGAAGGAAACCCAAAGACTCAGGGAATTCGAAGAAGGTTTAGTAAGTCAGTATAAATTTTACCTGGAAAATCTGGAACAAACAATAAAAGGCAAGTCTGAGCTATGCAACATTATACGAACGTGGTCAATATGTTTTTATATTAAAACCAAAATATCTGTCTTTTGTTATAATAAACATTACATGCCTGTCATTTTGTTTGTGTTAACATAGATCTGTACTGTTCTACAAGAGCAAAATAATCGATTCCCTATTGCTGAAAATGCCAACATTTTTTAATAATAGATCTCACATTCATATATCTGCGGTTCCTTATTTTATTCATCAAGTTCTTGATTGTCTCCTTGTTCTCCCTGTGTACTTTGCACACAGATTGGAAACAAATGAAAGCTAAGAAGAGTGAGGTGGTATCGTTAAAGGCATACAAAGGACTGGCAGAAGTGGCAGTGATGTGCTTGTGTGATCTCATGATCTCCCTTTCCCACTTCAATTTTCACAACAACATCATCGTCCTCGTAGTACCGCTTATTGATGACAAGTGTAAGAAGGTCAGTTGTCCCTTGCATACTTAATTTTGTTTTCTTACACAAGCTTTCCTGTCTTTTGCACATGATCAGATGTCTAACTTGTGACAAGATGTGAGCACTAGACTGGGAAACCTGTATTCTTTGAAATATTAATGAATTAAAAAAAAATATGGCCTACTTCATGCCTTTTAAAAAGATTATTAAAAATATATAAAATATATTTAAAGTAATATTAAAGGCAATTTTTTAAAAATAAAAATATGTCAATCTTACCTGCTCTGTGCAATGGTTTTGCACAGAGTAGCGCCTATCCTCCTCTTCTCGGATCCCCTGATGACGCTCCTGACCCTTCCCTCCTGCCAAGTGCCCCTACCGCAAGCAGCTTGCTATGGGGACACCCAAGCAGGCTCACTTTTGAGCTGCTACTCTGTGTCTCCATTCACACACAGAGCTGTGGCTCTGCCCCGCCCCCCTCGTGCATATCACTGAATGCATGAAGGTAAAAAACCTTCCTACTTTTGAAGCTGAACTCCAGATAGATGTGAAAGCACAATATAGTCCATTATGTAATAATAAAAAATTTCTAGGCTGGCTTCACACCTATGCTTGTGTGTTGGTCACTTATTTCTGCAATAGCAACATGCTTTTATGCAGTAAGCAACACACCTGATTATTTAATTCACTGCAATACATACACTTAAAACCACAAGCACTGTGTTGTGTATTGGAATAAGAAGGGTCAGAAAATGATGAGCGCAAGAACCATAATGCATCAGGTAATGCTTGAAGAGGTTCTTAGAAGCACTCATGCGAGGTAACAGTGTCTCTACATAGGATCGCCTTGACACCCTATACTCGCCTTAAGCAATCCCTTGCCACTCTTTTTCTTCTCTGCACGGCAATCACTTGAGTCTGTGACCTCACTCCTCTGGTCATGCTTGAGCTCTCAGGTCTAGTGATTGGCTGCTAGATCTGAGCACAGCCACGTGTGACATGAGAGGTGGAAGGAGCGCTGGAAAGGTAGATTACTGTTTATGCTAGCCTTTATAGAGGGGATATCATCCATCCTACCCATGTAACATAAAGTAACAGTATTTCTACAATCTATTTTGAAATACTCCTAAAAGTACAGTGGGTATAGAAAAGAGTCACTCCCTTTTAAAATAATATTTTGTTGCTTTGCAGCCTGAAATGAAAACAGGAACATATTTTTGTTTTATTCAGCTGTATTTACTGAGTGCAACTTGTAACATCCAAGTGAAAGATGTAACTCCTAAAATGTTGGGAAAAAATGATCAAAAACAGTAACACTGAGTTGGATAAAGGATCACCCCCCCCCCCCCCCCCCCCGTGTAGTCTGTTGGGATATATCTCTACTAACTTTGCACATCTAGACTTTGCAATATTTGCCCGCTCTTCTTTGCAGAACTGCTCATGTTCAATTAAGTTTGATGGTGACCGTTTGTGGACTGCAGTCTTCCAAGTCATTCCTCAGACATTCAATGGGGTTTAAGTCTGGGCTCTGACTACACCATGCAAGGACATATACCTTTTACTCCTTCATCCACTGTGTGGTCACTGTTGCTGTGTGCTTTGGGTCATTGTCATGTTGGAAGGTAAACCTTCTTCCCATTGACAACTTTCTGGCAGAGGACAACAGATGTTCCTCTAGAATTTGATGGTATTTTGCCCCCTCAATTTTTCCTACTATCCTGCTTTGCCTTGACAATGCTTTGGTGATTGTTTGCTTCAGTTGCACTATCAGGGACTGAAATGCTCCAAGAAATCTCTTCATGCTGAGTTAATGAAAATGACCACAGCTGATCTTAGTTGAAAGTCAAATGGCTTTGTGTACCATTGAGAAAGTAATTGGCTACACCTGAATGAGTTTGATTCATTTTTAAGGGGGGGGGGGGGGTAATATTTTTATTTTATTTTTTTTTTTATTTTGTTCTGACATGTTGATGGTATATCGTTTACTTGGATGTTATAAGTTGCATTTAGTAAACACAGCTGGATAAAACAAGAACTGTCTGTCTTCATTTCAGGCTGCAAAGCAACAAATTGATTTATTTTAAAGGGGAGTGATTATTTTCTATACCCACTGTAGTTGAATATTTTATCAACTTAATTTAATCTCTACTCAGTGGCACTCTGAACTCTCCGGAGAGGGTAACGGTTTGCCAGAATTTCACTTGATATTCATTGGTAAATCTTGTGCAGATTGTACAGGCTGTTAGATGTAGCAGGGATCTGGTATCTTTGGAGCAGCTAAAATTTGATTCAAAGAAAATCCTTGAGAAGTAAATTGGGTGGCATTTCTGACTTCAGAAAATGTCAGTTACCTGGCTGTCTCCAAGTGACTTGGAATACTTTTACAGCCAGTGAAGTCTGAATGCCTGATATGCATACCTATTCAGTGACACAGAAGTGATCGAAACTGATCTAAATAATAGCCAGGCATCTGGAATTTTCAGAAGGACAAGTAGTGTTAGCCTTGATATTTTCTTGAGTACAGGTTTCATTTCAGGCAAAAAGCAATGTGCTGTGTCTGATCTATATTCCACTTAGAATTCATGTGGTCTGGCCTTTTGGAATTGGAATTTTGCGTTTTTCTGTGATATTTTGCTCAAATAGTAGTGAACACACTAAATGTATCTACTGTTTAGAAAAGGAAGTTGAAACTGGAAGAAAGTGTTTGTCATGTTGTGTAGTATACATATAAGTGTCAACCATATCCTCCGTGTAAACAATTTATATAAAATAGTTTCCAGACTGGAATTTTGTCCACAACTAGAGGGCAGCAGAGTGTCGTCATTGGTTCTGTGTAGGAGATGCCAAAGAGGATTATCTCTTGAGAAGAAACATATGTATGACACAGAACAGGAATTTGGTTTTAAAGGCAGATAGTGTCTCATCATGAGACAGTCACTTTGCAGAAAATGAGGGTTAAAAGGCACTGTCTGGTGCAAGGGAACACAAAAAACATTTCTCCCATTTAAAACCCTATTAAAATGATTTTTTGTTTACTTAGATTAGAGCATGAACTACTAATAGCTTATTGTTAATATGCCTGCATGGTAGGTAGTATGTATTCCCAAATACGCAACATTTTCTTTGCATCTTGGTATTTTCTAATATGGTGCTTCTGTGGCCAAATGTGTCTTTTGGGCCACCTCTGGTAGCACAAGGTAACAATTTCAAGAAACTGGGTGTATATTAGCTGGTGTGTGGAAATGTTTGAAAAAACTACTTGTCGAGGGACTAAATCGGTGTCCCAATCCCCACTTGTCCTGATAAAAAAAAACATACATTTTAAACAAAACCGAATTTAAATCTGCTTTAAGTAATGTCTGGGGATTTTAAAAACAAAAGGGGCTTTATGGCGACTTAAATGTGTAATATTTTTAACATTGCGCTGTTTATCTCCTCCTCCCCTCCCTGCCTGTCTCCAGCACTGCACCCGGGGACCAGCAGGGAGGCGAGAGACCTTGCAGTGTAATGAACACCGATTGGGTGCTCATCAGGAAAGGGGAGTGTTGGGCTTATCCTTAATCCCTTTCGCTGCCAGAGCTGTTTTTTTGTGTTTTTTGCACACGTTTAAAAAATAATTTTAGGCATGAAAATGACTCAAAACCTCCAACATTATATATTTTCTGAAGTCAGAGATCCTAGAGAATAAAATAGTGGTAGTTTCAATTTGTTATGTCACACGATATTATCACAAAGGTCTAGGAAACACAACATTTCAGTAAAAAATACACTTCTGTTAATTTTAGGGCATAAAAAGCAATAAATTACCCTATTTTTTGTAAAACATAAAAGACAAGGTTGCATTGAGTAAATATATATCCAGCATGTCAAACCTTAATTTGCGTGCACTTGTGAAACTGCAAC